GGGGGGGGGGAGCAAAAGGAGGCCCCAATGGACCGGAGGGTGGGGGTGGAAAGCACCACGAACACGCACTTAACCTTGCGGAACTCCACCATCAGGTCAAAGATGAACCGCACCCCGAGATTGGACAGGAGACTGATGTCCGTGGCCCGGAGAAGACTGATCGTGCTCACGGCCGGCGGCTTGCCCGGAGGGGAGCCAGCCATGGCGGCCGCGGCCGCAGCGGCGGTGGCCGCCGCCAGCGCATCATCCCCGGACCCGCCGTCCAGCGGGAAGGCCAAGGGCGATGGCGAGGCCAGGAGCATGCACGGCGGCTCCGGGGCCGCGGCCACCGCAGTCACCGGACCCTCGGGGCTCGGAGCATGGCTGGAAAAGTGTGCCCGAGCCTGGTACGGCCGGTCAGGCAGCTGCGAGGAGGTGACCCACGATGCCGACCGCCCGCTGCCCGAGTGCGACAACCGGTTGGGAAGGGCGGCCAGTGCCGGCCCCGACGGCCCGGCCAGTACATCCGCCAGGGACCCGCCCCGGACATGGTGCGAGGGTGGCCCGGCCAGCGGGCTCCTGGGTGCATGCGCGGCCGCCTCGGCCGGCCAGCCGGGCGAGGGGGAGCGGGGAGGGCTGGCCGTAGCCCGGACGCCCCCCGGAGGGGGCGAAGTCTGGCCAGAGCCGGGCCTGGCCAAGAGCAGGGGGGTAGGGGAGGCGCAGACAGAAAAGCATGTGAGCCACATCCGGGGCCAAGGAAAGAGAGGACAGGCAGAGGCAACCGAGGAGGAAGGGGGGAGGGGGGATGCTTACGCGCTTGGCGGGGGTGATGGCCCGGGAAACTGAGTGGTCGGCGAGTAGGACCGGAAGATCAGGCCCTTGGCTTGGTCACTGGCTCGATGGAGGTACACCTGTACCCCACGCGTGCAGGGGGGGGGTGCGGCGGCGGCGGCGGCGGCGGCGGCGGCGGCGGCGAGGGCCGTGTCGATGGAGGGCGTTAGCAGGACAAAGGGGAAGGAGGCAGAAGGGCAGTCCGCAGGGAGATGGCAAGCCGACAGCCAGGCGCGCACCTCCGACTCCAAGGACAGTGTGGATGACCGGCAGATGTTTTGCCCCCGCCATTGGAGTACCGGGACGACGAAGCGCGTGCGCGCTCGCGCCAGTCGACTCTGGCGGAAGGCTACATGGTAATCCCGCGGCGAGATCAACGGCACGGCCGGGTGGCCGGGGAAGGTGACAAGGAACTGCTGACGCAGAAGGGCAACCTGTTCGTCGGGCAACAGATCAGTCGTTTGCCCGGGGCCAAGTTCAGCTGGGCCACAGGGGTTTCCGGGACCGGCGCCAGCGCCAGCGGGCCCGGATCGGGCAGGCCCAGGGTCGCGCGCAGGTCCCCCGGCTCCCGGGCGATCGTCGGACCGGCCGGCGCGCTCGCGAATCGGCGACGGGGCAGCCAAACTTTGCAGCGGTTCGGACAGATGGTCAAAAGCCCCCACGGCAGAGGGTGTCCGGATGGACAGCGGCAGCGTCGGCGACATGGCCGGCGGCGAGAGGGGGCTCCATCCGCTTGGGCGGGAGGCGTGATGCTCGACTACGCAGGGTAAGGAAAGGGGACCAGGCGGGCGGGCGGGCGGGCGGGCGGGCGGGCGGAGAACCCGCGCAAAGTGACGCACGATCGGCCGGCTCGCCGGGAGGTGACAAGGTCCCGGAGGCCAAGCCTCTGGGGGAGTTTGGCTCGGTCCCCTGCAGGCCCGAGGAATAGGGAATGAACAATTGAGGTGGGTATGTGGAACAGAGGGCCTGGTGGTTGTTCCAGGACACTGGCGGGGGGGGGCCCCCGGGACCAGGCCCAGCACCAGGAGCCGAGACGCCAGGCCCGCTTGGCCCTCCGGAACTCCCCATCAGCGGGTCTTGCGTGGTGGGATCATTCCAAGAGGCGGTATTCGGCACGACCGCCACATCGTAGTCCCGGCGGAAGAGAGCTTCGCAGATGGCCGAGATCCGCAGCATCTGAGAAGGTGGGAGATCCAGCAAAAAAGGGCGAGGGGGGGATTAGAGAAGCCAGAAAGACGGCAAGCGAGCATGGCAGCCGGAGGGGCTCGTGGAGGGGTGGATGCGCACCTGCTGCGAATACTTGCGGTCGTGCGGGTCATGGGTCGAGTAAAAAAAGAGCAGCAGCTGCCGGACCGACTCGGCGGTCACATTCTCATCCATTGTGAGACCCAGTGGAGATGATGGCGGTGGGCATGGCCCGAGCACAGAAGGGGAGGAGAGGGAGCCAGAGAGGCAGGCAGGCAGGCAGGCAGGGAAGGGAGGCGGGCGGGTGGGGGCGGGGGGAGGTAGGAAGGAGACAGGGCCTGCCCCGACCCCGGACACATGGAGCCTTGTCCGCTAGGCAAAATACTTGCGGGGTCCCCCTGCGTCATCGTGTCCTCTCCTCGCCCCGCCCAGGGGTCCAGGGAGGCGTGGTAGATCGCGCACCGGGGCCCCGCGCAGCCGTGACATCGGGGGCCGCGGCCGGCCGCCGGTCGGGGGAAGGGGGGCCAGGGGCGCGCGCGCGCACGGATCTGACGCAGAAATGGGACTGAACCGGGGGGGGAGGGGGGGGGGGGGACAGCAGGGTCCGCGCCGCGGTGCAGGTATCTCGCCGGGGGCAGAGACCCCGACCGTCGCGGCGGTCCGGCGGCGGGTCGGCCTATCTCTGGAGCCGTATTTGCGCGTGCGAGGGCGAGTCCTGCGGTCGGTTGCGGAGCAGGGGGGATCGGCGCACGGCGGCCGGTCCGCTGGCGCTCGTCCGGACGAAAAAGCGGCCGGCCCTCGCGTGATCATGTAACGACATTCATGACCATCATCCAGTGGCACCTGTAGGGAGCCTGCTTGTCGCCCACCGGGGCTCGGGACCCGCCCATCCTGCAGGCCACTGAGAGCAGCACACGCCCGACTTCCGCCCAAGGCCCCCCACACCGCCCCCGAGGCCTTCCCCCCCCCCCCCCCCGCCTCGCCCTGATTGCCTGCGGCCGACTCTCCTCACCCCGAGAGGCGGGGGACAGACGGGACCGGATGAGGTGTGGAAGCGTATCGCGGCGGCGGACGGCGAACGGCGGACGGCACCATCCATGGACATCGCCCACCGTTGCCATGTATGGGCCTCAAAAAAAAAACAAAGCAGCGACGGGCGCGGTGAGAGGAGGGGGGAGGAAGGAGCAGCATTACCATGCCCCCACTGACGACAGGGGAAATGCTTTACGATTATGTGTAGTAAAATATGGACGGGAGGATGTGGGGAAAGGGGAGAGAGCAGAAACTCCAGGCGCGCGGCCACACACGCCGACGCAGGCTCCGCCAAGTGGAAGGCAGAGGCAGAGGGGGCGCACATGAGCGCATTTAAGGGGGGGGGGGGAGGGGGACAGGTCGAGTCGATAATATGAGTGATGGGGCGCGCGCGCGTGTGTGCGCGGGAGGAGGCAAGCGACATGGAGAGGGGGCGCGGAGCATGCGCCGACCGCCAGAGGCCCATGCGTGCATGCACATCTGGACCCTCATCGCCCCGGGCGCGGTGCGGCGCGGCGGGGGGAGGGGCTACCATCGCGGCAGCTGCATTGCGCCCCCGCCCCAGAGGCCGCCCGTCGCGTTCTTGCCTCGCATGCGTGCGCGCGCGCCGAAACACGACACACCGCCGGGTGAGAAGGGGAGGGGAGGGACGCGCGGGTGTGCCGGCGCACGCGCGGGCGCGTGGAGGCGCGGCCCACCACACATACAGACACACTCACGCTCACGCTCACGCTCATGCTCACATCCACACGACAAGGCGTCGGACAGGCCATTTAGAGGGCCGAGGCACCGGTAATGATGTCCACCAGCTCGGTGGTAATGGCGGCCTGGCGAGAGCGGTTGTAGACGATGGTCAGCTTGCCGATGAGCTCGCCGGCGTTCTTGGTGGCGTTATCCATGGCAGACATCTTGGCGGAGGTCTCGGAGGCGTAGCCGTCGATCATGGCGCAGAAGATGGCGTTGGTCAGGTTGAACTCGTAGAGCGACTGCATGGCGTCATCCTCGACCTCGTAGGCGTTGATCTTGGCGGACTGGGCAAGCTCCTGGGGAGTGTGGATCGGGAAGAAGCCGGTCTCGTAGGCGATGGCCGACTGGAAGCGGTTGTACACGAGCTTGATGGACTTGTACTCGTTCGGGAGCTTGAGGATCTCGGAGGCGATGAGCGAAGCCTCGTAGAAGGTAGGGGGCTTGGAGCCGAGGTGGTTGAAGGAGAGGGTCATGTTGGAGGGGGCGAAGCGGGTGAGCTGGGCGCGGGCCTTGTCACCGAGGACGACGACGTCGGCGTTGGCGGGGTTCTCCTCGGCCTTGAGCTGGTCGCGGACGAAGCGAGAGACGTAAGAGTGGCAACCACCGCACAGACCCTGCATGAGTGCGATGGTGGGGGGGGGGAGAGGAGCGGCGGCGGATAGAGTCGATGTCAGTGTGTGTGTGTGGTCGAGAGAGGCAGGAGGGAGGGAGAAAGGGGGGGAGGAGGGAAGGGGCGCGCACCTTGTCAGAGGAGACAGCGATGTAGAGGGTCTTGCCCTCGCCACCCTGAGCGGTCTGGGTCTCGGCGTTCTTGTAGAAGGCTGTACGTGTGGCATGCCACGGGGGGGGGGAGGCACGAAGGAGGGCAAGGTGTCAGTCACGGGCAACCGGCGGGAGGGGGGAGGAATCATCCAACGACGCGAAAGAAGGGGCGAGGGGAAGTACGCACAGAGCAGAGAAGCACCGTGCTTGCGGGCGGTGACCATCTCACGCTGGGCGCGGCTCAGCTTGGTGGAGGCAATCATCTGCATGGACTTGGTGATCTTGGAGATGTTGGTGGTGGCGTTGATACGCAGCTTGACTGGAAGGTTGAGGAGGAGGGGAGGGAGAAAACAACACATGGTCAGTGCCGGGGTAGGGGAGACGAGCGACGACACGAGGGTTGGCTGGCGCGCGCGCGCGCGTGCGCGAGAGAGAGAGAGAGAGAGAGAGAGAGAGAGAGAGAGAGGGAGGGGGGGAGAAGGAACAGGGAGGGAGGACAGCACGCACGGTCCTTGAGGGTGGCCATCTCACGCTTGACAACGGTGGCAACAGCGGAGTTGGTGGTGACGCTACGGCAGATGAAAATGCGGGAGGGCGTGGAGACGGGCAGCAGTGGATGTCAGTGGGCAGAGGGCAAGCCGGGAAGTCAGTGCCGGGAGGGGGGGTGGGGAGGGAGGGAGGGGCCACCGTCATGGGCGACCCCCAGGGCGACGCTGGGACGGCGCGCGCGCGCGCGCGCGCGTGCGCCGAGTGCGCTTACGGGCACGCCCGGTGCCTCGTCTAGCGCCACCCGCGCGCCTGCCGGTGCGGAGGAGCGAGGCCCTTCCCGCGGGAGGAAGGGCGTGCGAGACGCCCGGTGACACAGCAGCGACGACGGATGTGCGCGCGGAGACCGAGCGACCGGGTGGACGCTGGGCACAAGAATGCCCCGGCAGACGACCACACCAGGGGTCGGGAGGAGGGAGGCGGCAGGCAGGGCAGAGCATGAAAGGAGGGGCGAGGGGAGGAGGCAATCTCGGCCGGGGAGAGGCTGGACTGAAGGAAAGGAGGAGGAGGAGGAGGAAGAAGAAAAACAGCAGGCGGGGGAGGGGCGCACCCGTTGGACAGACCGGAGACGGTCATACGACGAGCGGAGTTGGCGAAAGTGGGGAACATGGTGACGAGAGAGGGAGGGGGGAGGGGAGGCAACTAGCTGACTGTCTCAGGGGAGGGGACAACTAATTTGCTTTCTCTGGTGGCCTCCCTCGGGGGGACCACCGGGGCCCGGAGGCGGCATTTCAGATTCGCCGCGGGGGGTCTCCGCCTCTCGCCCTCCCCGGCTCGGCCCCCCAGCTGGGCACCGGGCACGAGGAAAGAAAGAGCGAGAGACACAGAGAGAGAGAGAGAGGGAGAGAGAATCATGGGTACAAGGCCAGGGGACTTGAAAGGCGTCCCCGCCCAGCACCCTCAGGCGCGGCTCCCCTTCCACTACCCCCCCCCCCTCCCCTCCGGTGGTTGGAGAAACGACGCGTCCTCCTCTGGCAGGGAGCGCCTGGCGAGGGGACGGGAATATGCTCGCGCGGGCCCACGGCCAGCCCGCACCAAGGCCGGGGGGACGCCGGCCCCAGGTGGGGTGGGACCTGGTTTAATGCCCCCGGCCCCGGGCCCGGGGACTCCCCTCCCGTATCCCCCCTCCAGCCGGCCATCTCCGTGGGTGGGGATGGGGAGGGGGGGGGGGGGGGCAGAGCCAAGCAGCTCTTGTCGCGCTAGACCCCCCCTGCCCCGCGCCCGCTGGTAGGGAACTCCTCCGGCATGTCCCCTCGCCCCGGCCGGCGCGTGCCCCAGGGTCGACACACCAGCGAAAGTGGTCCCCCTCGCCCGACACACACAGACACACACACACACACGCACACACGCGCACCGGACCAGCTGCCGCTGGTACACCTCGCCTCTGGCCAGCGCCCTCTCTTGTGGCGGACCGGTGCCCATTGAGTAGCCCAACCCACGCAAATGTGCCCGCTTGACCGAGTCACTTCCCGAAGCTCACAGTCCCGGACCGAGGCAACAGTCAGACAGTAACGCCGCTGCCGGCAGCGCCGGCGACACCGGGTGCCCTCGGGGCGGCGTGGTGTCCCAGTGCCGAAGAGCCACAAAGAAGAGAAGCACACACGTCTGAGCGTGTGCCGGCCCCCGCCCTCCCCCCCCCCGCCCCGCTGGCTCCTCGCCAGTTGGAACGAGGAGCGGCCGCCGCTGGTTCCGCCTTTCGAACAGCCAGACGGCGCATGTGGAATAACCTACATGCACGCCTCGCCTCATGCCTGGGTCCAACCCTTCCAGATCCCAATCAACCAGAAGCTACGCCCATATCCTAACCCTGGAATTGGACATGTGTCAGTGGCGTGATGCATGGCAGAGTCACGCGGTGGCCCGGCCGCCCATGCGCCTCTTCGCGATCCTGAGACCCGCCAGCAAGATGAACCGGTGCTGGCTCTCGCCCTCGTTGCCACCGCCGCCGCCGCTGCCGCCGCCCGTGTCCGGCCGCAGTGGACACATTGATCTGGCGGGCATGTGTTGCGGTTCGCGGCGCTCGGCGCCGTCGGGGCCTGACATTCCCTTCCCCCTTCCCCCCCCCCCTCCTCCTCCTCCCTCTTCACTTTCCTCGTCACCCTCTTCCCCATCTCTGCCCCTGCCTTCCGCCCTCGCTGTCACCCCGCCCGTATTCTTTGCCAGACAAAACAGACGATCGCCGCGTACTCCCCCTCGCTGGTTCCTTTTCTTTCTCCTTCCCCGGTCGTGCCATGCAGACGTCCGCCTTCTTGGTGAACACCCTGGCCGGGAGGGTTACGCCCCCGACCGGGGCTTCCTTCGTCGTTCAGCGGATGCTGTCTCCGGCATCGCTGAGCCGGCGCTCGGACAGCCAGCCGGCGGTCTTCCATGCGCACCACATCACCAAAATCGATGAGTCCCAGGGTGCGTAGCAGGTATCCTCGCGCGTGCACCGTGCCTCACATTGGGCATCTGTGCGAGGGAAGAAGGCATGATGATCCGGAAAATGCCCGCAGGCCAGCCGCGGACATATGCATGCCATGGACCTGATACTCGCATTTACACACTTGCACACACACACACACACACACACACACACGCACACACGCACACATGAACATGCACTTACATACGGACGCGTGCACACCACACCCATGCCGGCGAATCAGATGCCCCAATCAGCAAGTACCTGGAGAATGCCCCCCCGATCCAGCATCTGTCCCTCAGCGCCCCCTGTGCGTGTGCCGCTCGGTCCTTGCTGGCCGCTGTGCATCTCGACTTGCCACCTCCCCCTTTTCCGGCCCCCTTTCCCGACTAACCACATCATGCATTTGGGGCCGATCAGTCCCCCAGACCCTGGGCGATGAAGGGTCACACCTGTATGAGGCCCTGCTCAAGCACGCCTCGACACTGGAGTCGCTGAGTCTCCAGAATTTCCACCTCGACCCGGTGCACCTCTCGGACCTGCTGGCGCGCCTGTCCCTGCGGAGGCTGCACCTGTCTGGTGCGCCATGTCCTCCGCTCATCGGCTGTCCCCCCCCCCCCCCGCACATGGCCCTTGACCGTACCTCCCGCCGGTGTGCTGACATTCCTCGTGGGCTGCCTTTGATGTCCTTCTCCCCCTGGGAAGACTCCATCACCTTCGACGATGAGGCCATGAAGCTGCTCGTGCCGGCCCTCGGCAAGTCCGCCTCTCTGTCCTTCCTGCGGTTGAAATGTACGCCCCCATGGTGATTGGCTTGCATGTTGCTTGGCCTGGCTTTGCTGCTAATACCCACCATGTAGCCCTGCTTTTGACCGAAAACTCGGCGGACTCCGTGGCAGAGCTCCTGGCGCAAAAGCCCCTGATTGCCGCCGATCTGTCGGGTGCGTTCTGCCTCTTCCCCTTTGCTTCGGCGAGCTTCGCCCTCCCCTTGTCCGGGCTGCCTTCGGCTTGCCAACTCCGGGCCCCTGACCCTGCGACATCGGCCATGTAGCTTTGAGCTTCGACAATGCGGCCCCTCTGGCTGGCATCGGACACTCGCTGGCCCAGGACACCTCCTCCCTCCGGGCGCTGCTGCTGAAGGGCTCCTCACTCGATACCGACATCACCAGCTCCATCTTGACCGGGGTTGCGCGCAACCAGCGCCTGGTCCACCTGGACCTCTCGGGTATGACGCTTCTCTGCTTGCATGCTCGCCGGCCACCTGCATCGGCATCCTCCCATTGCTGACTCTTGCTCCTCCCATTGCAACCCCCCCTCCCCCTCCCCGTGCACCTGCGCCCGGGCCATGTGCAGACAACAAGTACACCTCGGCCACCCTGCCGGCGGTTTTGGAGGTGGTCAAGCAGAATAACACCATCCAGTCGCTGGATATGCGCTGTGCGTAGGGCTCCGCTGCGCATACACACCGCCACTGCGGTCGCCTTTGCTCGCCACTTACACACACACACACACACACACACACGCACGCACTCACACACTCACACCCTCCTCCTTGGGCCGCGCACGGGCCGAACACAGCCCCCTCGTGGCTTTTTGAGCTTAATCACTCCAACCTCATCATGGAAGCCGTTGGCGCAAATGAGGGCTCGCAGCTCTCCTCCTTCCTGCAGAACACCCACCCCGGGCTGGAGTTCCGTACGCCGATTCGACCGCCGGACCTTTTGCACCCTGTGTGGGTCTCTCCCCGCGTCGCCTGCTTTCTGACACGGCCATACTCCCGCTCCTCGCGCACTTGCCCATCGCCCTTTCTTTTTTTTCCCCCACCGCATGCCATACCCACACACGTGTGACCAGATAACCTCCACCAAAACCGCATGAGCATGCAGGAGCAGATCCTTGAAGGCTCGAACCTGAATGCCATGAACATGTCCGTGGCACCGTCCAACATGGCCAGCATCCTGCGGACTATTCGGCAGATTGACGTGCCGACCCGGTCGCGAAACATCCTCTCTGACAACCCGGTATCCGAGGACTATTGGTACATGCGGGCCGTGACTCCGGAAGATGTGGAGTATCTGGAGCATGCGGTGGCCACCGCCAACGAGAATGTCACCCGGAGCCGGCACATCTTTGACACCGAGGCGCCCTCCGCGCAAGATGCCTCGCGTTGTGCGTAAATCCCTTCCCCTTGTGGGGTGCCTTTCTTTTTTTCTTCTTTTTCCCCCTGCCCTCCTCTCTTCCTCTCGAGCCCCCCTTTCGGCCTCGAGGGATGCTGGCGATGGCCCTTTCCCGTGCTGCTTTGCCCGCTTGCCTCGCTGTCCATGACCGGCCGGCCCGGTCGGGGTGATGCCAGGCCGCTTCTATTCCTGCTGACCCCGGCCCTTTGTCCCTCTCCCCGGCAACTGGCAATTGCAGCCATCAATTTGAAGATTCGCCAGGCCGATCTTGCGGCGGACACTGCCGCCGCGGATCTGGCCCTACGCAGTGCCATCCTCCGCCGGCAGAATGTCGCCTTCCCGGAGAATCTCTTTGCCTTCAACGCGCACCGAGGCCTGTTCATGGCACAGGGGGTGGCCAAGGCCCGGGGGTTCGAGACGCTGACCACCTCCGAGTACTTTGCCTTCCTGTCGAGCATCGAGTCGGACCTCTTCCCGAAGATCCTGCCCCAGCGGCTGGCCGCCTTCACTCCGAAGCTCCTGTGGAATTCGACGGTCTACAATCTGTACCGGCACTCGTCGCGCATGCCGCTGCATCATGCCCTGTATTTGGGCATGCGGGTGGTGCACTTTGCCCAGCCGGAGCTTCCCCTCCCGCTGGCCGAGTCCTTTGTCAATTGGGACCAGCAAACCGCGCGCAAGTGGGTTGCAAGTGTGGTCGGCAGTGACTTTGCCACCTCCCTCGAGGGGGGCCTCCAGCTGCTGACCTTCGCCATGAGCCAGGATCGGAATATCTTGCAGCAGGAACCCACCACCCTGTCTATGAATCACCGGCCGCCGATCTTCTCCAAGAAGGCCCTGGCCGAGTTCGAGAAGAAGGTCAAGTTCGAAACCAATCGCCTGGCCGAGATCGACACCCCCGGCGGGCAGATGACCATTTGCACCTGGCGCCGGCTGAACACGCACGGCGTGTCGGCCCTGGTGCATCTGGGCCGTGATGGGGCCCGGAATGCGCTGAACATGTCGCGCCCCGAGCGTCTGGACCTCCAGCGCCGGGAGAAGGCCCTCGTGGGAGCTGTCCGTGCCCTGATCGCGTCCGAGTGCACCAGCGGCGTGCTGCCCATGTGGGTGGCTGCCTTCCCGCTTTTCCACCCGCTGGCATATGTGGCCCAGCATGTGAGTCAGACGGGCACGGTTCCGGCGACGGAGCAGCGCGGCGTCGCCAAGTGGGGCGACGAGTAGGGTGGATTCTTTCTTTTTTTTTTGGCCATGTGTATACACGCTCGTTGCATATGTCCGTGTGTCCCTCTCAGCGCACGTACCCGGTGCCCACCTCTGGACTCGCCCATGTGTCCCCTACATGTGCAGCTCTGTGTATCTATTGTCGATGCCCTGCATGTGTGAGTGTGTTTGTGTGTAGGCCGGCCTCCGCGCATGTGCCCCCCCCCCTCTCCCTGATCGCCCGCCAGGCTGCGGGGGCGCTCGGCGTCTCTTGTCCTCCTTTCCCGTCCATGTATGCGTGGCTAGCCTCGTCTCGCCCCCCCCCCCCCCCCCCTCCGCCCCCGGCCTCCGAAATAAGACTACCCCTCAATGCATGCCTCGTCTCGCCCCCCCCCCCCCCCCCCCCCCCCCCCCCCCCCAATGCGCACACGCACACACGCACACCGAATGATGCCTAAGCGACTGCAGAGGGAAATTGGCGTGAACACGGCGCATGGAGGCCCCAGGGGAATGTTCGGTCATGGCCGCGACCCCTCCCGTCCATTAGAGTAGGGGCCCCCCCCTGCTGTGCCTGCCTCTCTTCCTCTTCTTCTCTCGCTCCCTCTCCTTTTCCCTCTCTCTCTCTCTCTCCCCTACTTAGAATGCACAAAAAGACAGAATAGCCCTGGCCTTCTCTGCTGTCCCCGGTCGAGGGGGGGCCGTTCCACTGAGGGTGGACATTTTGGCGGCAGCCGGCGGATCAGGGCCCTTCCGTTGGGGGATTGACCAGTGGACCGATCCGATGGCATCTGCCCGTGGGAACATCTGTACCCGCCTGGGGAACAAACACACAATCCTCCCGAAGGAGCGGCAGCCCAGGGGGCGGCGGGCGCATGCGCTCCCACCTCATCAGGGCCAGCCCAAGGGTCTGCCCAGAGCGGCGCCGCATCCGGTAAGTACAGAAATGAGAGAACCGAGCCCCCCCCCCTCCTCCCGAGGGCGGAAGAAGCCCCGGCGACCGCCCTCAGAGGGGCGGGGGGAGTGGTTGCCGGGCAGGGATATGCTCGGCAATTCAGGGGCACAGGCCCCGCGGTCGGCCGGCCAGTCATATTTGCCCGAAGGGGGGGGGGGGGGGCGACGTCCGCACGGCCAGCGCTCCAGAGAAGCCCCGGGCATGTGGCCTGTGCCGGGCGGGCGGGCGGGCGGGCGGGCGGGCGCGGGGCCAAGAAGGCCGATCGATCGGCCGGCGGACGCCGGGCCACGGGGTAAACACATCAGATTCCAAATTCTTGGTGCGCCGTGTTCTCCCGAGCACGCTGGGGCGGGGCGGGGGGGCAGGAGGACCGACCGACCGGAGGGGGCCGACGTGCAAGGACCGGATGGCTGATGTCACATCGGCCCGCACCCATGCGCGCCCTGAGGCCTGGCGCAGGGGCACCGGGCGGGGGGGGGGGGGGGGGGGGGGTGCGACGGGGCAATACAGGGCCGAAGTCGGACGCGCGAAGAAGCCCCCCTGGGGCACTCTCGGGGAACATTACAGCCCCGGGGGCTTGAAGTCTGACCGGAACCGGCACCAGCCGTTGGGAGGTCATACCCCCCCTGCCCCCGCCCCACCTGCCCCTGCCATTCTGGCCTGGGGGGGGGGGGGGGCGACGAGACCCAAGGGGTAAGGACCCCCCCCCGGCCGTCTCGCGACTGAGCGGCGCCAGAGAGGGAGAGAGAGAGAGAGAGAGCCGTTGGAGGCAACACCGCTCGCGGGTCGCGCGCATCCCCTCTCGGGACCAGGGCTGTGTGGCGATCGCCCGGGCCCGCCCCTTCCCCTGGAGCATGGGGGCCTGTCTCCGTGCAGGAGCATTCGCGAGCCGGGCTGTAGCGAGACTGGTGGATCCGCTCCACAGGGGGGCGGGGAGGGGGGAGATCGTCCCTGCGTCCGCCCCCCCCCCCCTTTCACCGCCGCCACAGGCGGGTCGAGGCAGATCGTTCGCCCCTGCTTGTGCCGCCTCGCTCGCCCCCTCCGGGGGTGTGGAGGGGTTCTCTTCGGACACCTTGGCCCCCGCGCGGCTGCCTGGCCAGCCCCGGTAGCCATCTCCTGCCGTGTGCTACCCCATCACCCTCCCCCCCCCCTTCCCTTTGCCTGCTGCCTGTCCCCTCCCCGCCCCCCCCCTCTGCCCTGCCGCATTTCCGTCCTGCCTGGCTCTGTCCTTGACCGTCCGCCATTTGCGGACCTTGAATCACCATGTCCAAAGGCGCTCCCGGACCCCAGGCGTATGAGATGGCCGTTCTCAAGGCCCCACCGTCGACTCAGGCCCACCCGGCAGATCGCCCGGACTTGGGTTTCACCTTCGCCACAATTGAGGTGCGCATCTAGGCCATCACCGCTGCCTCGCCCGTGTCCCCCTCCTTCAAATGCGGCCTTGCTAACTCGGCACCCTCCTGTCGGGGCTGGCCGCCCCCCTGGCCACCCCCCAGTCGCTTCTCCGGTGCTTTGCCCTTTTGGACCTCGACGGCGACGGGCTGATCCAGCTGCTTGAGTTGCGGATTCTCTTCCGGGCATTCAAGGTACGGGTGGCCCTCCCGGCTCGGCAGCCCCCCCCCCCCCCTGCCCGTTAATGACACGGTCACTAACCACCTTCTGTGTTCCTCTGGCAGACTGGCTATGATGAGAACTTCACGCGTAGCGTGCTCAGCATGTTTGATTTCGATCGCAGCGGCAGCATCGAGCATGAGGACTTCCTTTCGGTGCGCCGCTGTTGCTGTCGACTGCTGCATCCCCCCTCGAGGCAGATCGCCCTGACACACGTCCCTCTCTCTCTCTCTCTCTTTCTCTCTCCTCCCAGCGGATGGCCCTTCTTCAGCACCGCGATCCGGTCATCTTCTCGAAGCTCCTGGCCAAGGTGAACTCGGATGCGGATAACACCGAACTCACTCGGTATACTCTTGGCTGCATGGTCAAGGTCCGGCCTGCTTGTCTTTCTGCCCCCCTCCGTTGTCCCTTTGATGCTCCTGCTCCCCCTCGCGTCTGTCTTTTGACCCTTTGCCCTTGCCTCCGTGGCCGTTTCCCGCCTCTCTCCCGCAGCTGGTTACCATCAATCAACTACGCCGGAGGTCCTCCCTCTACGTTCGGGATACACCACAGTGCGTACAATGTCGCCCTTTGGCCAGATATGTGTGGCGCCCGCCCCACACCGACCCATACACACACACACACACACATATATATATATATATATATATATATATACATACATATATATGGATTGGCTGACTGAAAGTCCTGACGCATGGGCAGGTCCACCGGCTCTGGAATCCAGTATCACACCATTAGGGCTGCCAAGCGTGCTGTTGGCCTGGAGGATGTGCGTGCTCCATGCGCCTGTTGCCGTCGTCGGCGCCGGTGCTGTCCATGCGCATAGCTGAGAGTACATCTTCCATTTGACACCCTCGACTCACCACCCTCCCCATCCTCGTTGTACACACATACACACACGCTCTGGGCTGTTGGTGGGCGCCCGCAGAGCAAGACCGCCATGCCCACACATGTGCAGAAGCAACTGGTCGACGAGCGGAAGCGCACGAACCAGCGTATCCCCTGGTTTTTGTATTTGATCACCGTGGTCCAGGTGGCCATGGTGATCACTTCGCTCTTCATGAACAAGGGCATCCAGCCGATCGGAGAGAACTTGATGATCGGTCCAAGCAACCAGATTCTCCTTCACCTGGGGGCCAAGTTTGGCCCCTGCATGCGGCCGGAGCCCTGGGTGGTGGCGGAGTTCCCCGACACCTTCCCCTGTCCCCCGGAGTATCAGGGGACATACCAGCCGAAGCGTGCGCTCTGCGTGGACCCTTTCCATCCTCTGCCCCGTACTTTTTTTGGCCCCCACTTCTTTCGACTGACACATACCCATGCGCGCACCCGCACCCGCGCACGCGCACGCACCCGCGCACGCGCACGCACCCGCACCCGCACACACACACACACACACACGCCTGTCCATGTGCGCCAGTTCCCGGAGGCGAGTGCACGTACTACATGGTCCTCGAGGAGAAGTGCGGCATGGGCGGATTCGGCATGATGGACAGCATCCCACTCCAGGCGTGGCGCTTTATCACCCCGATGTTCTTGCATACCGGAGCCATTCACCTTATCATCAACATGATTTTCACCTCCTGGCGCGGGTTAGACATCGAGAAGAAGATCGGCTCCTTCCGGTTTATGATCATCTTTTGTTTGAGTGGCATCTTCGGCATTGCCTTCAGTGCGGCCATGACACCGAATCAGAGTACGTGAGCCCCCATGCTCAGGCCCATGTGTGCCGCGAAGTTCCCTCTCCCCTTCTCCCCTACTCTCTTTATCCCCTGCCCGTCCACTGATAATGCCCTCCCCCCCCCCCTTCATAGTTGCATGTGGATCATCCGCCTCCCTCTTCTCTTTGCTGGCCATTCTGAAGATCGATCTTTTCCTCAACTGGCGCGTGGTGCAAAACCCCTGGCGCCACTTGTTCACCCTGGTCGTACGTGGCATGCCCTGTCCATTCATTTGACCGCACATCCTCGCGCCAAGCGATTTGAGGGCCAAAAGGGGGGGGGCAAGAAGCATGCTCGCCAACTCCTGCCCACAGAAGATGGCAAGAGTACGGGCACGGAAGGGGTGAGCTCGAATGGAAACTGACCCCCCCCCCCCCCACACACACACACACACAACGACACCCATCTATTTGACCTCAGGCTGTGGCGGTCATTCTCCTGGGCATCGGGCTTCTGCCATTTGTAGACAACTTCATGCAGATTGGTGGATACATCGCGGGGATCCTGTCGGCGGTGATCCTGGTGCCGCACATCAAGATTTCGGCGGCCGGGCGACGCTGGCGCGTGTTTGCCATCATCTGCGCCCTGCTCATCCTGGCTGGCATCTTCTTCGGGGTGTTCTACACCTTCTACGATGGCCAGGAGACCAACTACTGCTGGTGGTGCGAGGCACTCAACTGCATGCCTCAGGGAACGCCCTGGTGCGCAGGTGTCAGCTCCTGATGGGGGGGGGGGGGGGGGGGGCGACGCCTGTGTGAGCGTGCATCGTGCACCCCTCGCCCCGTGGTATCTCTCCTCTGCCTCCACCGTTGTCGCTGCGTGTCCCCTCCCTGCCTGTGTTCGTGCGCCCGGCCGAGCCGCGGAGTAGCAGGGAGATGGGGTCGGAAAAAGACAAAAGACCAGGAAAAGAAATACACTGCCCTTGAGATGCAAGTGAAAAAGCGGGGATGCCCTCGGTGTGAGGGGGGAGGCAGAGAGGGGGCGGGAGAAAGGGAATGTCGCAAACGCCGATTGCCCGGCAACTGCTACTGCGGTTAGTGATGCTCGCTTCAATTAAGCCCGGTGAAGGCAGGTCCGCCCGCTTTGGCGGGTGGTCGCTTTATGAAATAATATTACCTCCCTTTGCTCGATCCTCTTTGAACGGTGTTTTGAATGATAGTGGGATGTTTTAAGTGCGTTGGGGCATGGATCGCGCACCTGGGAAGGTGCGGGGTCCCTGGGAGGGTGCGGGGTCTGGACAGATGCAAGGCCCAGCAGCTGCCCTGCTCGGTCTCTCTCACTCCCGCCCTCGCTGTCTTTTTCCAACCAGAGTGCCCCCCCCC